ATAGCCATACGTATCGACAAGTCGCTCGTGGACATCGCTACGTAGTTGCCAATGTGCACCACCCATGGACATGCGCTAGCTTACGGGCCGGTATAGCGATCGTAAAAACTCTTATGGGCCTGGCCGCTCTCATTCTTCTCTCTGGTATAAAACTAAGCGATGTATTATACTGTACAATACCAAGTATAATACAATGTAAAATACCTCACGTATAATACGTGCCCAACCCTGATTGCGACTGTGAATTATATCGTTCTTGAGATGATCTTAATTAAATAAGACCATCTTCACCGAGACAGTCTTAAGCATTACCTTGAGCTTCGACTATGAATACGGCCCTTATATCTCTATGGAATCTACGGAATTCTACGGAATTGTTAGTTCCTCCCTACGGATATTGAAAAATCTAAGATGGCAACACTGATCTATGCTCTGTTCTGACCAACCTGAACCACGCCAGTGTTCCGATATTGGAAAGGCTGTACGCGAATGCGCGGCGTTTATAACGTCACAAAAGTATCTAAAACAAGTAATATGGGGTACTGTCACTGGAACCGATTATTTCATTTAAAATTTAAAAAAAAATGTAAATATAAAGGTGACACACGTTTATAATACAAAATATATATTTACATAAAGTTAGTTATTACTAATATAATTGAATTTATTACTATTATCTTATTATATTACAAATATAAAATATACAATAATATACAGTGTATAAAAATAAAGAAAAATGATATAGGTAAAACCATTTTACAAATAAACAAAATTGCGTTTAAAAAAGTTATTTATTAGGCAAAAATCTCATTGGATACCAACATTTGTTGCTTGAGTAAGGAAAACTGCCAAAAACCTTACCAGTATCCATATAACAAAAAAATATTGCACATTATTAAAAAAGCAATGCAACTAATTACAAACAAATAATTAATTACAAAAACAAAAATATACATAATATAAAGATAATTTAATATTAATATATATTAATTATTATATATATATTTAATTTTTATAAAAACCATTTTTATTACGTAAACAATATTAAACTCCCAAGTTTTAAAAATAAAATATGTTATAACAAATAAAAAAGTTATATTTAAGCTATCTCCCGCTAAAACTACCGCGCATCTTCATAGATACGTTACTGGATTCTCTCGGAATTCGTCGCGCATGCGCGTACAGCCTCTCCAATATCGGAACACTGAACCACGCTCCTTTTCCGTGACATTTGTATTGTATTGACGACAGAGCGGTGTTAATTTTATTATAATTAGGTGCAACAATATGAAAATACAATTGTCATATCGGTCGTGCTATTTTACGGAACATGGGAGATAAAGGTATTTAATTGTTTCATCAAAGTAATTTTTTTAAAATTATTTTTATAAAATTTGTTATGATATACATACTTATATACATAGTTTGTTATACTTTTATATTGGAAAAAAAAATCCTGCACTTTTTTCAGAGCATCATGTTCACTTTAGTGGTGGAAGCGCACTTGGAAAAGACAATAGTATTATGATACAACCACAACGACATGGCCATATAGATGCTTATTTAGGATTCTTACAATTATATCATAGGTATATAAACTGGTTATACATTTTGGAAACTTTAAATTGCAAGTCTTCAAGTTTCTTTGATAAAAAATTTTAGTAAGAAGAAATTATAGCAAAGAAGTTCTATTTCTATTTCAGATATCACGTAGAATTTTCTATACCATGGAACAAGTGTATTCATCCAGAAAAGAAATCAGTAACTCCAGCAGTAATTACAGGAAAGTACAATGCAAATTGTCATATTATCAATACTGCCCAAGATAAAGATGGCTTAAGGTAAGACTTACTTTTACATATGCATTATACAAAATTGATCTTTTTTTAAATTCAAAATTTCTAATATAAAATAAGTAATCTTTTCTCTAATATAAAATAAGTAATCTTTTTTAGGTTACTGATAGAGCTATTGGCTTATAAAGAAAAAATATTAAAAGAAGAAGTTGAAGTAATGTGTTGCTCATTAGGAACACCGTTAAAAATTGTGCTAAATGCACGTGTCTTGGCGAAAGACAAGGGTACACCATTATTAAGGAATGGTATACATAGTATTGCTGTGGAAGATACAAATGAAAATAATCTCTCGGACTAAACTATTGAACTATTTCTCAAGGATAAATATCTTAAATGTCAAGGTACTAGATGTGAAAGAAATAACAAATTAGCATTGCTGAAACATTCTAGAATGGAGCGTAAAATCGAAAGTGGTCAATGAGAGAATTGCCGTGCAAAAGTCAAATAATTTGCCTACTACTATTGCTCTTAAGAATGCATCATGCACGAAATGCCTATAAATGTCTACATCACGTATCTTTTTCTAAGTATATGTACACACAGATTGTTACAAGATTTGTATTTTATTATCATTTTATATTGACTGTATTGATTTTTCAACGAAGCTTTCGCCTATGCTCACAGAGACACTAAATCTGTTTTCAATGAATGTATATGTATAAATTCAGATTATTTATTTAAATAAAGTAATTCAACAAGATCAGCTCTCTGACTTTTATGTAATCTCTCTTTCGTCTATAACATTCTTATTCAAAATTTCAACATTGAAAATTGAATTTTTTCATAGGAATTCCGGTCGGACCATCTACAAATTCGCAAATGTTGAAACCTAGTTTTGCAAGCGGATGACAATTGCTACTAGGATTGCCCCATTTGCCCCTGAAAGCCATCCAGCCTGGCAAGGATTCGTTATCTTCCTCCAAAAGCAATTCTAATCTTTTCCATGTCGGCCAAGCGGTCCCGAATCCACTCTCGTCGTACAGACGAGGTACTCGAACGAATCTATGCTTCCCTGGAGCTGTCCAGAGTCCATGAGAACCGCGCGCGCTGAACAAAATCGGATGCGAACCACCGGCGGTGTAAACTTTTTCGGGGAATGTTGGCTTCTGAAAGAGACCCTTTCTTGTTTCTTGACTTTCATAAATGAAAGTGCCACTTTGCGGATTATACTGATAGAATGCACCGGAGTCGTGTGCTGATACGTACATTGCTAGAGGATGCTCTTTACTCTAAGAAGAATAATACGTAGATACGCATTACATAGATTTTATCATATAATAAAAAATAAGTGTTTTTTTAAAGAAAATTATTTACTTTGAAATAAAGACTCATATGTTCCCAGTCTCCAATGTGACTTCCATATCCTTTGAGCGTGCCCACGCATACGCCACCTATAGTAGGTATCGGCCAATTGCCGAAAAATCCAAGATCTAGTACGCAGATCGTCTTACCTTCACTAAACGGATAAAACATCCAGTAAGTCACGTGAAAGTGAAGTTTTTGATAGCTGTTCTCGCTGATTTTTTCCACTTGTGATTTTGTTATCTGAAATATAGTTTTTATGTGAGAGAATAACGGAATTGAACTTACCTATCATCTTGCGATACGTAAAAGAATTGGCAAATCCAATATTAAAATTTTTCTTGAAACTCATGTGATGTTTAAAATTTCCAACACTTTAAAAATCACAATTTATAATTGCCTATCTTCGTATCTTACCTGCTGCACTTGGTCTCGTACTGTCATCTGCGTTTTTAAATCATTGGAAGTATCGGTGTTCATTTTGTTTTTTATTATTTGCTTACTTGCCATGCGTGCATCAGAAACGCAATTTTTTACGAGAGCGTAGACGGGGACAGTTCCGGCAGGTTTTCGGCCGTACAAGAAGGACGATCGATTTTTTAACAAGGATCCTTTTAAAAATGTTTTTATATATACTATATTTCTAATTAAAAAAGAGTTTTATTTATTTTGCTTATTATACATGTTATCGCATACATATGTATACATATATTGCATATGTTGCAGCTTGGACATTTACCTACGTCTATTTTAGTGCGAAGGTAATATTGATCCGATTGTACGTTATCGAGGAATTCAGTAACACCGAGAGGCAAAAATCGTTCTTCGGGCGCGAGCCATACTAAAGGTGCCCAATTTTGTATCAATCTTCGTACTAAAATCAATAAATGATATTGAAAACTCATTATTATTGATATTGAAAATATTTAATTATCGCGCCTGTTGAATTTTGTTGCATTGACGATGCAACACAATTATCAATCCGGACATCAAAGGATAGAGAGTGTATATTACAGTGAGTATATATTTGTGCACATATGTAGGATCGAGTGCATCTCTGATCTGGTAGAACTACCTATATTTATCCTCGCTGTATCCTCACAAGAAACGGGTACATGGGTCAGCAAGACTCTCGTAACTCTAGTAGTCTGAGTTTAAGAGAGATAAAGCAAACTTGTACGGCAGTTCTGTATATCTCATCAGTTACATTAATATACATAAGAATGATGTGTATAAAAGTGGAGAGAATATAAAACATAGGCTAACAAACGGAATTGAAAATTTATTATAAGAAAAAATACATATATATAAGAGAGGTTCACTTTTCGTGTTGATAATTCTGAACGAGTTGTTTGAAATATTTATTATATAATTATTTTATTTGAATATTTTGTGAATGTGAAAAATATTGTTATAAAGTATTATTCGCGCGCGTCGTGAAAATAATTATCTTTTACAAAAAAAAAAAAAAAAAAAAAAAAACGAAGAGCACATACGCGCAAAATCGGAAATTAACCCAATTTGTTTTAATCCATCTTAACTCGCTTTGCTTCTTTCGACGACCGTGGAACCGGTCCAGAAATGGGACAACCAATATTTAAACCCTACAGCCTGTGTATTCGAGTACGCGATACCAAATACGAGCGCTTCGAAAGAGAAACATCGTGCCAATTTATCACATTTATCTTTGAACTTTTGAGAGTATATACATATATATATATATATATATATATATATATATATATATATATATATATATATATATAAAAATGAAATTTTTTATGACTTATAATGTTACTCATGTAAATTTGATAACTACTCAATAGTTTTGTAATTTATATATTATAAATATGTAAATTAATGTGTAAATTAATCTCATGACTAGTGATAAAATTGATTACACATTTAGAACGTAATTAACCAAATAAATTTAATATAATGAGATACGTACCTCGTTTTTCATTAGCCACAGGTAGTCGCAGTTCTGCGACCGTGTAAGTTACAACTAGTATAACGATTACTAATTCAGTCATGTCTGTTCCATTGATGCATTTTTAATTTATGGGAACGCGATCGATATAATCACCGATCCTCATTCTTTTTTATCACTTTCTGCATTTCTAATTTTATCGTCTACCAGAAGAAAAAACAACACAAGACAGAGACGGAGTTCTGTCCGGCGTTTAGTAGGCCAAAAGTCTTCCTGGATAACTGATCAAAGCACGACTCTACCTGCCTCGCTTTCCACACCGCTTACTAGATAAACATTACAGAAGCACACATCGTCGTACATACTACGTACGCACTGTCTTTATATTGTGAGCATGTATTACATATAAGCGCAACCAGATAGTGGTTGTGTTTGTAATGTTACGAACAAAACATTCAAATATATTTGCGACAAAAAAAAGCAGAATACGCGATTATGATATATCGTTCTTAATTATGATAAATAAATATTACATATTTATATATTTATGTAATCGAATATCATATATTTATGTAATCTGTCTTTCTATTGCACTGATTACTTTATTAAGGAAAATAAAATAATATTTTTTTTTTAATGTGAAACATGATCATAATTGATATATCGTTTATTATTAGATAAGTCCCATACAGTAACTCTTAATATATATAATTAAAATAGTCTCTATTATTATTATTGATATAAAGAGATAATTATATTAAAATCAGAATATTAAGAGATAATTACACACACACATTTATTAAATAATAATCTAAATATAACATGATCTCACATGGCAATAAAGAGAAAGTGTTATGCAAAGAATATTTGTTTTTGATAGCAAGTATTCAGATCTTGCAGTCACACACAATCTGTTGCTTATACAAATGTACGGACATATGCCTATTGCTGCTTCTTTTCTCTTATAAGTAGATAATATAACTTTACAGGAATTTAACATAATAAAAAGATGTGCATATATCTGTATGTATATATATATATATATATATGTATATATATATATATATATATATGAGCTTACACATATATTTATATAAATTGTCTTGTGAATGTAATAATTGTGAATTCAAAGAAAAATATAATTTGAATACTACAACTTTCAGAATACTTTTAGTTACATACAACAAACATTAGATACATGTACAGAAATATTATTTCATAAATTGTGTATATATATATATATATATATATACAATTTGTGAAATAGTATTTTTGTACATATATCTAATGTTATATGTATATATATTTGTGAAATTGTATATATACCCAGCAAACAATTTGGTTCAGATGTCGCGATTTTGTCGACAACCGCCACACCAAATCCATATCCATCTGTGTCCTCAGTAGGATATGGTTTTGGTGAGTTTTGGTAACCATGCTAAGTTTTTTGTGTCTGTGTGTCAACAGCTTTGGCAGCATAATTTCCGTATTGTAGCGTTTCTGCACACAATTTCTGTTGCCAGGTCTGCGCAGTCAGAAATTGTTTGCTACATACAATTTGTGAAATAATATTTCTGTACATGTATCTAATGTTTGTTGTATGTAACTAAAAGTATTCTGAAAGTTGTAGTATCAAATTATATTTTTCTTAGAATTCACAATTATTACATTCACAAGACAATTTATATGTATAAATATATGTGTAAGTTCATGTATATATATATATATATATATATATATACATACAGATATATGCTCATCTTTTTATTATGTTAAATTCCTGTAAAGTTATATTATCTTATTTATAACTCTTACTTATAAGAGAAAAGAAGCAACAATAGGCATATACATTTGTATAAGCAACAGATTGTGTGTGACTGCAAGATCTGAATACTTGCTATCAAAAACAAATATATATATATATATTTACAAATCTAAACAAAAACCAATTCATGTGAAGAAGACAATGTAAAAAAATTATACAAGTGCACTTGATTTAGGAAGACTGCATAAAACAGATAAGAAAAACTTATATATGATATAAATTTACTGTACTTGGTTGATATTATTTCTGCAGTTAGGACAGACAGCCTACAACATAAGTAATATACTTATGACTCTAATGACTTGAAATTTTATAAGCATGTTAATAAATCTTTGAATTTTACCTGAGCATTATGGTTTCTTAGTGCGTTGATACAGCTCAAGTGGAAGTAATGTTTACAAGGAAGTAATTGTTTTACTTCAGCTTTGCTTTTACTTAATGGTTCTAGACATATCGAACAATCTGTGTCATCTTTACATGTATCTCTTCCTTCTCTATTTCTTAAAGAACTTGATGAATCTCTTCTATCTCTTGCTCTACTGAGAACAAATTGTACATGTTATATTCCCAGATAGCCAAATGTGAAAACTCAATATAAAGCAAATCATTGTATAGATTAAGTTGCTCGCCAATTGCTGTTGTGTTGTTTTTATTTAATGCAACGAAAATGTTTTTGTCAATTCATCAATCTGCTGAGTTTTATTATCAATTGTTGTAGCCAATGTTTATGACATGTGAATCAGCAATATGTGAGCAATATATGAGCAATAATTCTTATTCATAAGTTGAAAAAAATAATATAAGTTTATTGCCGATGAGTTGTTGAGAACTTGCTGTTATATTTTGAAAACTGTTGCTGGCAAGAACATACTGAAAAGAGAATACACCCTTTTGTTACATTGCTGAAAACATATGAGTAATATTTGTGGCAAGTTGCCAACAACTTGCACTCAGTTGGCTATCTGGGTTAGATTTCTATTCTGATATTCCATCAAAGACAGAATTTTTGATTTGCAAACATTTTGCAATTTGTTTTGTTTGAATGAATAAAACTAAGATACCTTCTGTCTTGACCTTTACATGTATCTCTTCCTTCTCTATTTCTTAAAGAACTTGATGAATCTCTTCTATCTCTTGCTCTACTGAGAACAAATTGTACATGTTATATTAGATTTCTACTCTGATATTCCGTCAAAGACGGAATTTTTGATTTGCAAACATTTTGCAATTTATTTTGTTTGAATGAATGAAACTAAGATACCTTCTGTCTTGACCTGTCGTCCAATTATCATAGCTTGATGGTGATCTTGTGTTTGCTGAATATGCATGCGATCTTTCGGGATCTTTATCGGAGAATACATAATATAAGAGTGCTATACCAATTCCAACACCGAAAAAGAGCACAATTCCAGGATATGCCATGTTCTTTATATTAGATAACGTATACAGCTACTGTGTCAAGTATATCAGTGCGTTAGCCAGGTCTGGACTTTTCTACTGTATATTTAGTACACTTTAGTCTATATTTCGATTTTCTTGACACGGCAAAAGTCAGTCTATACGTCATAAGCGTACTCGTACGTTTTATAAGGAAAATTGAGCAAAATACAGAGAATCCCAATTTGCATAAAATGTATTAAAATGTCGATGGTTGGTTGGTGCAAAAATGGCTTAGCGGACCTCAAAATGTCGATGGTTTGGTGATCTTTTGGCTCAGTGAACCTATAAAGCTANTCCATACGCCATTCTACGTCTTTTTGATGATAGGTTTAAAACCGTGAATTGGGTTCCTGACGCCAAGCCACGGAGTTGTATATTTGTTTAAATTAACAGATAATAATAACAAAAGTGGTGTAAAACACCGACAATTGTCCAAAAATATTCACAGCGTAACTACGCACATCCAAGTCAAAATGTCGATCGTGTCCTATCCATAGACGTAGAATATATAGACTGCGCGTTTGGCTGAAAAGTTTGTCTTCATGATTGCAGAGAGAAACCTGAAGCCTATGTCACACTACGGATTAGGATTGAGATTGGATTGCAATTTGGCCAATCAGAGAGAAGATCACTAAACTTAGGATTGGTTTTCTTTTTTCTAATTGGTCAAATTTCAATCTAATCTCAATCCCAATCCGTAGTGTG